AATATTGATCACATATTAGTACTTTGAAACAAAGCATCACTTATAAATTGTACAAAGTATACAAAGATGTTGAAATATTGAGCTGCATATCAATATTATACAAAAAGGCCCAATTTAATTAGCCTAGGCCCGTTACAATTTTTTTATTTTTTTGTTAAGTTAGTCCAGCTTTCAGAAAAAGGCCCAAATATGACTAATCATCCAACGGCCAATAGTGTTACACATGTAAAGATCGGACGGCTGTAATCTGTTAGGTAAGAGTATAAAAGGCTAATATTTCGGTGTAGGGTTTCATTTCATCTCATACAAACCGATCACCCCCTACTTCACACACTTCTCTCCATTCATTTCGGGTTTGTGTCTGATTTAGAAGAAAAAATTATTAAAAAGCCTCGAAATTTTAGCCTTTCACTTTCAAAAACCGAAATTATAGTACATCTAAGTCTGATATATATAGAATCTTAGAACAATTTGCTTTTTTCGGGGTTCTCATTTGTTATTTCTAACTATTTTCGTATCGAGGATCACGAAATCGATCGACGACTACATAAAAGGTTTGTAATTTTTTTTATTTTCATTTTTTTGGTAAATAGACCAATACTTTCACTTGTTGTTCATAGATCTATCATATATTATTTTCCAATTTTAGATCTTTCTAAATATAATTATTTTCTCTGTATTTTGTACTGAGAATTCAAAATTTTTGTGATTTGTCAGTGTATGTTTTGTTCTGCTTTTGAAGTTCTAATATTTGTATTTTAATTTTTATCTTTGTTTGAGCACAACGTCCGATTAGGAGAGGAAACTGATGGCCAAACAGAAGGTCGACGACTATTGATATGAGGTAGACCTTTCGTAATTTGTACTGAAATCGAAGGCCGACTGTTATATACATAGATATATTGGGTGCTAATTACGAAGTTCAAACTCTAATTTTTTTTCTTACAAATGATTTATTTAATGTTTAATGTAAAGGGCAAAAAACAAAATCTGAATTTAGAGAGGTCAATTGGTTCAAATCCAAGCTGTGGAATAAGAATTCAATTGGCGTCCACCCAAGGTTAGTATATATCTGACATTTTTAGTTTCTTTAGATATAACAATTGTTTGTTCATCATCAGACATTCATGCCCAATCATTAATTAAAGCTAAGTTGTTTTATTAAATAAAGTTAAGTTTTTTTTTTTTTTTTTTATTTTTAACATGCAGAATTGTAAACATTTGAGATTCATGCAAGATAATATATGATCCCTCTCAGAGTTGAACAAAATATGAAACTGCAGCTATAAATATTGCACAAGTAATGTTCTTTGTATACATATTTTCAGTAAATTTTCGAATAAAATGATAATAAGAGATCAAACAAACATACAACTATTATTTATTTTTTGTTTGTATTAACATATTTATTTTTATTTTTCTGTACATAATGCATGTCCAAAATACGGAGAATTGTCAAACGAAAGCACGACCAGAGTAACACTTAACACACTTGTTATGGCAATATGATCCGCGAACAGGTATTTTTCAACATTCATAGATAATTGTAGCAGTAAAAGACGGTATGATCTACTGAAATAATATCCTATCTTAGTTAAGCAATTAATACTACAAATATTAAACTATTTACCTTGGAATATGTTTTCTTCAGTGGCTTTTTTGCTACTTTTGTTCAATTCCTTATGCGTTGAAGTGATCTTATCTGATTTCAGCAAGTCCTCTGACATATTGAATACGAAATGATGATTAGTCTGTTATATTAAAAAGTAATAAAATTCTAAAATAACTATAATGATGCATGAATGATGAAATTCTTTCAAGTATATGTGTTATTAAATATAAATTACCAATTGAAGCATGAATGATGGCATTATTTCTTCTAATTCGTTTATTGAACTCTTTGTCTGCCTCTTTATTTGCCGACTTGTAGTACTGTTTGTTTTCCTCACTGCACCTATGTCAATTGTTGCAAAAAAAATGAATATTAAATTTCTGCTTGGAGAAATAAAGTATAACCAGTAGATGTACAAAGATGGTAAGAAAAAATCTTGGGTTCTGCCTGTGTTTTTTGATGTATTTGTTCGTTTTTTGGATTCATTCTTTGTTGAACGGCCTTATATTGGTTGATCCGTGTTCATTGAACACTGTATAATCTTGTATTTCCAAACCTGATAAACAAAAAACAATAAAATTATATAACAAAAAAAGCACTTTAAAGATGAAGAAATATGATGAACTTCATATGATACACCGTGTCTGTACCTGCTTGAACTAACTCTGAATCTTAAAATAAGATTTTATGAAAAGGCTTTGAAAAGTTTATGTAAATATAAAGACATGTGAGATTTATCAGTAGGACTACGCTTATTCAATAGATAGAATATAGGATAGTTAGCTATAGAGAGAATATAGGATAGTTAGCTATATATGGGAATCAAAATCTTTTATTAGAGATTATACACAAAAACCCGGTCTATGATACACAATCTATTTACCTTCCTCTTTCAGTGGGAGTATGCTTATTCAATAGAGAGAATATAGGATTGTTAGCTATAGAGAGAATATAGGATAGTTAGATATATATGAGAATCAAAATCTTTTATTAGAGATTATACAAAAAAACTCGGTCAATGATACACAAGCTATTTGTATTTATTAAATATATTTTAGAATATTAAGATATGGTAAACTAATGAAAGATTCGTATACAAAATAAATGATTTTTTCCATTTGGCACATGTTTTATGCATGGAGAGTATCAATGATATTGTTATGAAAATTCAAATAGATATTTACTTACGTAAATAAATAAGTAGTATTATAAAATTATAAAATATTATATAAAATGTGCAGAACATGCCACGATTGTTTAACTTATTTACTATAACAATTGTTTAATGTACTTACTATGTATTTGTTAATATGGTAAACTACTGAAAGATTAAACAAAGTATAATCATATGTACCATAGGAATGAGAATTTTACGTCTTTTAGTAATAACAGATGACAAAAAAGATATGTTTTAAATTAAGAGTACTTATCTCATAGAATCACATAGTATCAATAATTAGTTAATTTGAGATGTGGTCAAAGTATATTAGTACTTATCTCAAAACCCATAATAGTAGACACGTAGAATTCGGCCGTAATTGTGTACTTATCTCATATTTAAATTCCAATTGTATAACACAAAATTCGGTGAAATAAAAAATCTAGAAGTAAATCAATTATATAATATACCACGTATAGAGTTTTTGTGATAGTCCACATGTTCACAGAGTTTGAAATCTATATATCTAAAGAGATATAACCAAAAGAGAATTGTAATGACACTTCGTTTAATTTATTTTATATAATTATCTAATATTATAATAATTAATTTTCACATTTATCTATTTTAAAAAATAGTTAATTAAAAATCTAAATTAAAAATTAGAGAATTATCTATTTTTATCCAATTAAAACGAAGTGAAATTGTTATCCTGAATTTACACGTTTACATGAAGTTAAATTAAATCTAAATTTAGTTGAAATTTACACGTTTATAATGACCTTTTAAAATCTAAATTAAAAATTTGTTATTTTTTATATAATTTGTTAACTTTTAATCATTATAATTTAATATATTTTAAATATTTCTCTTTTTTGTTTGTAAGGTAAACAGCTTTTTATACATTTACGTGTAANAACAAAAATGTGATTGAACATTGTTCAAGCATGTAATGATTTAATAGAATAAAAAAATAAAACAAAATAAATTGAGTAAATTGAAATTGTAAATTTTTAAATTTGGCCCACAATGTTCAATCACAGAACACAAATAAAACAATAAACAACAAAAACGGATATACGAAAAAATTGAATAGTAAATGAAGTAATAAATTATATTTTTTTTTCCGACAAATTATAATAAGCATCCACAATCGATCAAAACGACATGAAATAAAATTATTACCAATATTCAAGAAATCATCCATTCAAATTCAAATTATAAAAATACCTAAGAAAGTCATCCCGCAACCATATCTTGCATCGCGCTAGTATTGAGGAAAATTTCCATTGTAGCTATATACATCAGTCGATCCATTAAGCACAAGCTTCCAATGGTTGGTTAAATTCCAATGGTTGGTTAAATGGGCATTGTTCCTCCTTGGTTTATATTCAACATTATACTCTCGGATTGCATACACTTCGTCTTGTTTGAGTACATTTCGAAAATTTTCCATACTTGGCGAGCGTACTATTCCAATGATGTATGAAGCCTAGATTTGTTAATTATCAAAAAATTGCCAAAGAATAATTAAACATGATATGAAACATGATATTAATTATGAATAATTATTTTATTGACAAATCAATTGGAATAATTACCACTTCATCATGAAACAGGATGTGAAAAGCGTTTGGATGCTCCAGGTCGTCATGAGTTTCCATCAGTAGGACTACTCTCAACATCAAAAAAGGTTTGTTGGATCTGTTGACGGCGTCGATTGTATTAAAGAGGAAAAGAAGGGTGCCATAAAATTTTTTGTGTTTTTTGTATTTTGTGGTCGTCCGCGTTTTGATGAGATGAATGAAAAAAGGTATCAATGAATACCTTTTTATACACGGTGTATATCTCTAAATGTTTATCTCATCCGATTTTTTGGAATGAATTTGTTAGGATAATTACTAAACACGTGATATTTAAATGACTTTCCACCAATCTGTACCAAACTAAATGCCATGAAAAATGGAAATAAGATAAGTATGATTTAAAACAAAACGAAAATCAAGAGAATTGTTAGGATAAACTAAATGCCGTGAGTATGATTTAAAACAAAAAGAAAATTTTCTTAACCTAAATTTTGGATTTTTAAAACACTTTCCACAAATGGGAAGTCAAAACCCTTTTTGACCAATTTTTTTAAACTTTCCTTAAATGATTTTTTTACCTTCCTCTTTCAATATATATAGATTACTTAACTAATAAATTTAACCAAAATAGCAAAAAGAAATCATGACCTGCAATGGCTGCCGAGTCCTTCGCAAGGGCTGCCCCGACAATTGCACCCTCAGACCCTCACTTCAGTGGATCAAATCCGCCGACTCACAGGCCAACGCCACCCTCTTCCTCGCCAAGTTCTACGGCCGAGCCGGACTTTTCAACCTAATCGACGCCGGCCCATCTCATCTACGCCACGGTACGTATATATATGGATACAATTTGTTTGTATCTATACATTTCAAACCCGACCCGTCAAATTTTTTTTTTCTGCTAACGGATTATTTGTTCGCCGCCGGCAGAGACTTTCCGGTCGCTGCTCTACGATACCTGCGGTCGGATAATCAACCCGGTGTACGGCTCCGCCGGCCTGATTCGCGCCGGCNGGAAGCGGAGGCGGGGCAAGGGGCCTGCCGGAGATGCGGCGGGGCTGACGGAGGAGGAGGAGGAGGAGGAGCCGAGGTTCACCATCACGGGGTGGTCCGGCGACCGGGAGTATGACCGGCTAGATTTCGCGCCGGCGGCGGTGGAGAGGGCGCCGAGCCACGACTCTTTCTCGGTCGAGACGGTGGAGCCGAGCTTGGTGGTGGGCCAGGTCGAGGGGCCCGATTGGGGGGTCTGGCCGGTGGATCGGCCCGGGGAGATTGGGCTGGAGCTGACCTTGGGCCGGGAATCGGGCCGGTTTGATAGCGCGCTCGAGATCTCTGACGGCGATGAAATTCAAGGAAAAGGCTAATTCGAGTTAGATAGATATATCAGTTGATAGTCTCTAATTTTATTTTGGACCCTTTTAAATTTGCATTTTATTTCCAGATTTCAGATTATAGATTTTTGCCCCTTTATTTTCGGTTTATTTTGCAATGAATAGGTTCTTTTTAGGGCTTTTTGTGTACATTTCAATTTTCAGTAAGCGTTTCTCAAATTAAAAAAGGAAAAAAAAAATCTCAAATTAAATCCCACCAATTTTGAACATAATGAATTTTAGGGTATTTTATATTTGATGTGACATAAATCATAAAAAAGATTTTGTTTTTTTATATTGCCAAACTTAAACGACGAATTCAAGTTAAATTCCTACACCCCTTTTCATCTTTCTTGTCAGTCTCCTACATAAAATTTGTTCCTTTGCACTCCTTAATTTTAATTTTTCTTTCCAAATTACTCCCCACATATATAGTAATATTCCCCACATATATAGTAATATTATTATGTTAGAAATTTGTGTTTGGGTTCTGATTTGGGCTGTCTTTTGGTTTCCCATTCCTGTCGACGACTTGCGGAGAGAAGTTGATTAATTTAAGGAATCACTGCCTAATGATTTCACATAATTAGGGAAAAATTAAGAAAAGTCTCAATCCGAAAAAAGTTTCTCACATTTCTTTTCTTCCTGAAAAGAAAGATTGTAAACTCCCTCGTGCATTCATTTTTTGTGGAATTGTGCCANTTTTTTGGTGAAATGGAATCACACTCGAGTTCTGTAATATACATCGAATTTGTTGTTCTGGCAGATTCTATGTAGCTGAGGTCCTTCTCGCCCTCGCGTACCTTCACATGCTCGTCATAATCTACCGAGACCTCAAGCCCGAAAACATCCTCGTCCGTGAAGACGGCCACATCATGCTCACGGATTTCGACCTCTCCCTACAATGCTCGGTCAACCCAACCCTCGTCAAATCTTCCGGGCCATCCCTCGACCCACCCCGCATCTGGGGCCCGTGCGCGGGCTCCAACTGCATCGACCGTTCTGCGCCGGGCCCTCGTGCCAAGTCTCGCGCTTCGGCCCGAACATTCGACCTGCAGTAGCTTTGCATAGTTTTGCATTGACATTTTTATTTTCTATTAGCACTTGCATTCATTTTCAACCTTTTTGGGTCAAGTGATGAGATTTGAATATTTTCTTATCAAACCATGAAGCTTACACAATTTCGAGCTTTTTAATTGTGCCTTGATGAATGCTAGAGTTGATGCATGTGTATGTAATAATGTCCAGATGTTTTTTCAGGTCTTTGCATGATCTTTTTCTCCCTTTCATGTATGATATAATAATTTTTTTGTTTGGTGTTATGAGTGAATAAATGTAAAT